AAACTCCTTTCTTTTCTTTAAAATCTTTGAAGGTATTTCTTTCAAAAGTATAATATCCTGAGCAGCAATCTGAAACCTCTGCTGGTAAAAGGCCTGTATAATTTCATTTCGATGTGCTTTTCTAGAAAAATAAACAACAACATCCCTGGGCTGTTTTCTCTGACGTGCGACCCATGAATTGACTCTAAATATTTTTTCACTCTCTCCATAGATAATTTCAGGGTCGCAGTCTAAGACCAACGCTAGGGCAGCTATTACCTCTTCTCTCAGTTTCTCCTGTACGTTCTCCTGAAGGCCTCTGATTCTTATTGCGTATTCCATCTCTCTGAATTGTGCCATTACAATGTCATTTTGAGCAATCTCTATAGTTTCTTCTACTTTCTCCATTCTCTCCTCCACCCCTTCCATTTTTTCTCCCACTTCCTCCACACGGTTCTCTATACGATCCATATGAAAAGCAAAGCCCTGAAAGATTTGGGACATATTCTCACACAATTCATCATTCTTTTTGGCAAGCAGCTCTTCTGTCTCCATTCTCACCTGTTGTACAATTTGTTTAGACATCTGCATCTGCATCTGCATCAAAGAATCCTGCAGATCCTTTAAAGTAATATAAGGTGGTGAGGAGGGTGGAGGAGTTTTAGCTCTCTGTTGCGTAGTCTGTACAGCTGGAGAGGAAACAGCTGACTTAGGTGCTGCAGGGGCTACACCTCGTTTAGAGGCCATTCTTAAGTTTAAAAAGAGTCTTGATATACAGTCCAAAACAGTTAAAAATCAAACAGATTTTCCTTTAATTTTTCCTTAATTTTTGGAGATTTTTCCTTAATTTTTGAAGATTTTTTACAGTTTTAACAATGTAGCAATCCACAACCGGAAGGAAAGTAAAAGTGTCTCTTTAGAACAAAGAAGCGGCAAGCCGCAGCCATTTCTTTTTCTTCAGAAAGTAACTTTCAATTTTCAGTCATTTGAGAAGAGTACTTTAATCTCTGAGTCAAAGTTTTAAGTTCCTTATAAAAAGTCCAGATTTCCTAGTTGGCTCCGTCTGTTAAAAGTACTCACAGTTAACTTCAGAAAAAACATCAGAGGTGGAGATGGCGTCTGGCTTTGCTGATAGCGAAGACGTCCCGATCTGCGGAGAAGCTCTGAGCTCCGGAGGAGTTCTCACCTTCGCCTCGCTGGGAGCACCCAGGGAGGCTAGGGAACTCGACTCCTACTCACGAGTCGGCTCTCCTTCTCTCCTTTGCCCGGAGAGAAGTTTCAAATCGCCAAACAGCTGATACTCGCTGTTTCGGCGATTCTTACGCAGTCCTGGACGGGAGGCTGTCAAAACAACCCCCTTCGGCAGCCGCCAAGCCACCGGAAGTCTGAACTGTATCTTGTTGAATAGGGCCAATGTGCATGTTTATCAAGATCCTTCTGAATCTTGAGTCTGTCTTCCTATCATAACTATAAAATTAATGGGAGAATTTGTTTACCTGCTAGATTTTTGTTAATTTAGTCATTTATCTTCTGAGGGATACCACCTGGGGCATTTGGTGGCTTGTTGTCACTTGTTGTCATTCAGAGAAATTATTTGATTCCATTCTTACCTTCTGCTGTTACTCTAGGACAACAGAGCTGAAAGGAGACATAATGTGCCCCTTTCATCACATAGGGGACTAAGCACAGAAGAATTGGGGGATGTTTGTCCAATGCACTAGCTATTCTAACACTAGGCTAGAAAATCTGTAGTCCATTATGTTATGAGAATGGGGGCCTGATGGCTCAGCAGATAAAGATGCTGAGCTTATCAGCTGGAAAGCTGACAGCCTGAGTTTAAGACCTGAGCATTGTGCAGTGGGGAGAGCTCCCTTTACTTGCCGCAGCTCCTGCCAACTTAGCAGTTTGAAAGCATGCAAATGCAAGCAGATAAACAGGTACCACTTCATTGGAAAGGTAACAGCATTCCATGTGCTCTGGTCTATAGTCATGCTGGCCACATGACCATAGAAGTGTCTTCGGACAATGCTGGCTTCCCTGGCTAAGAAACGAAGATGAGCACTGCCCCCTAGAGTCGGACACAACTGGACAGGGGAAACCTTTATGTTTATTTTATGTTATGGGAATTCAGTCATACATTGGCATATTGCCTGTACATAATATGCTTTATTTGCATGGATGCCAAATCGTGAACCCATGAATTATATTCTGTAATACATCTGTGTAGATATTGCCATGTTGTATGCACCTACCCATAATATATTTTGAGGTGGTTTCACTATTATTAATACCTCCTTGCCTAATATTTCTTCTTTTTTAGCTTTCCTTTTATAGTTTTTAATCATGAATATTGCTTTACTATTTATTAATTATCTGTTCTTTAGCTTTATTTTATGACCCCAGAGTCACTTGATTGTGAGATGGAGAGCTACATAAAATTGACGAATGAACAAACAAACAATCTTATTTTTTCTAGTTTGGTACTAAAATCAAGATTGGATTATGTTCTGAATAATTGGATTTATAATACTTACTTAGATCTCAATACAACTCAGATTTTCTATAATTTGATGGAAAAGAAATTACAATTTCTATTGTGGTTTACCATTCTGGGAATGTTATGTCTAAATGGGCAATATAAAAAGTTCTTAAATAATTGAAATAATGTTCTTTCTATTAAATTTCTATACTCCTCTGTGATAAATTGTTTGTGCTTTATAGTGGGTCATTGGTGTGATAGAGAGGCTGGATTAGAGGGACCGTCCCAAAGAGCACTTAGAGAAGCCAAGGAACAGAAAGTGCATTCTGATGTTAAGGCACATGATTCAGCCAAAGATCCAGCAAAACAGATGAGCAAGAAATATCCAGCGGTATGAATGTTCTTATTTGTATATTTATTTTAGAAGTTTATAAGGCTATCCAATGAGTCCGGATAAGACATAATAAATCCAATCCAATACAATTAAACCAAACAAAAAACCATCAAACACCATAAAAAGTAACCATTAAAATACAATCAAACACACAGGATCTACTCACCCACTATAACTTAAAGCCTAAGAAATGAGGAGGTTTTCAGAGCTCTTTTAAACAATTGGAGCCAGATATATCAGGAGTGGTGATGGTAGTGATATTCCAGTAATAGATTTAGAATTTGAACTAGTGACATTTACAATAGTAGAATTACAGTCCTGGAATTGGAATGAGCCGTTTAGGCTGCAACTACTGACTGGAACTGCCCACACAAATAGGAGTGGAATTACTAAAGAAGTAGTATAGATATTCAGCAAATATTATACCAATAGAATTAACTACCTTTAGACACAGGACCAAGAGGGGTGCACTCCGTTCCATCAGAGTTCAGGTATATATGTAATCCAGGCAATATTTATTAAAAAAAAATTGTTGGGTCAAGAGAGGATGCACAACTACATCTTTAAGCACCATAAAACTTAACAAAACATAATAGTTTCCCTGATCATATTCCTCCTAGTGCCCAAAGAAGCCAGGAAGGACATGGATCAAACCTAAACAGAGGACTCTATTTTGCTCATTACAATGGATTGTATCCAGCAGGAAAATATCTTTTTTTATTATTGGATGTGATTCAGCTCAACATTAGGCACACTAGTTTGTAACACAATTTCAGATAGTGTGCATATTTTAATAATTCCGTATTCAATGGTCTATGGGGTGCTCAGATCCCACTGAATGGACTCAATAGCAGTCATGCCATTAAATGAAATTAAGCAACCATTTCATGCAATTTCATAGGAGGGGTGATGAAATGATGATGATGATGAATCCCGACCTGCTTATCCATCTTCACTTCCCAATCTCCAAGATTCCTTTCAACTTTATGTGTAGTATAGTGGTTAAGTTATTTAATTAGGAATAGAGAAGCCCAAGGTCTAACCTTTCCTCAGCCTTGGAAGCTCACTGGATGACTTTGGGCCCATCATTCGCTGTCAGCCCAGTCTCCCTCTCAGGATTGTTGTTGTGAAGAGAAATAGGAGGAGGGAACACTATGTATGCCTGAGTTCCTTACAGATATTATCTTGCTTCCCAGGATGTAAGAAATATTTCAGCCCTCTTTGTTTACATAATAGATAGAAACAATTTTCATTATCACACTGAATGGAAAATTGAATATTAATGTAATTCACAAAATGTATATGTCATTCCATTCTAAGACTCCATTGAGTAGAGACAATCAACAAACCAAACAACAATGGAAAGCACTTTTAATAAGCCTATGAATAAATATGTTTTAAAATTGAATGAATATCATTAGTTAATTTTAATGTTTCTTTCTTTATTTTGATTTAAGGATTCAGAATTTCCTGAAGGTATCCAAGTAAATCCATACCTTGCTTGTGCAAAAAAATGTGTGCGGCCATTGAAGTCTGGAATATATAGACTGAGCAACACATTGAAAGTACATGATTTGGCAGTGACCTGGTAGGAGTTCTTACATATTTGTTAATGATTTCATTTTATTGTTTAGCATTATAAATAAATATTTGTTTATTATTGGTTATCTAACGATGTCAATACAATGATTTACATACATGATTTTTATGTGAATGTTACATTAGGCAAAGTAACCTTGAAGAAATTATCCTATCTGAAATCAATTTAAACAGTAAAGCTGTATTTTTCCTTGCAGTTGAGAATATAGAGGGTGAATGTTGGAACATAAGTCTTGGAAATATGAGCCCTTTTGCCTCTTTTGCAAAAGATTTTATATTCTTTAAAATGGAAAGCAGTTGTCTATCTCTCAGTTATGACAATATTTGATACTTTATCATTCCTCTATAAATGACTTACCTTATCACAGCAGTTTTCTACAGTTCAGATTAAGAGCATGTTTAGTAGAGTTTTCTAACTTTCTTTGTCTACTGACTCACAATTTCTTTCTTAATGTCATCGAAATCATTTGTACTTGAAGGAAAGAATAAATAATTAAGTGCTTGCCAGGGAGCATTGTGCGTGTTGCCTGGAATTGCTGAATAAAAGGCAGGATGGAAATTTTGTAAATAATATAAATGTGAATTTAAAAGAAAAGGCTTACAATATATTATCATTTTATTATGTCAGCTTTTCACAACTTTTTTGGTTGGTCACAGAACAGTAAAATGAAAGGAATGGCTACCTGCCATTAAGGAATCCCAGGGAAAAAGGACAGTTGACTGCATTAGCTATCAAAACAGATAGTAGCTAGATCCTGTAGCAGTTGTTCTGATCAGTCTTTGACTGGTCTCAGTAATTTAGTTGTTTTTGTTATTTCTGTTCTTAGGTTACTGTTGCTGTCTTTAGTATTCTAGATATTTATTGTATTTTATTTTCTTGTTTCTTAACTTATACTCCTACAAAATATAAGTCTTCCATAGTCTCTTTCTGTGAAGTGGACAAATAAACCTAATAAATAAACTCATTTGTTGTTCACTCTTTCTACCTCAGGACATACAACTTCATCTGAAGCTGTTTCTTCTGAATTTTTGTTTCTAGTCATCACAGAATTTAGTGTAATGCCCTCTTCATCAATTTTATCATGGTTGGGCCCAAAACATGTTACCAAATTTGCATAATGCAGTAACTTTCAAGCTTACTTTTCTTCTTCCAGAAAATTGTGATTATTGACGTATAAACAAAATTACTCAAATAAACATTAATTTTTGTAGACAAACTTTCAAATGCATTTTGTAGAGTATAATTTTCTTTTTTATTTTGTGTTGTTAACACCCCCAATATCCTATTTAAAAAATCCTTTGGCTCTCTTATGGGATATGGTAAAATTACCATTACAGTTCAGCTACCATTTTCAAGCAGGAAAACAATAATGGTACATCTACTGCAAGTTATGCATTGGCCTTCAGTACTATCAAAGTGACCAATGTGAGGCATCTTGAAAACAATGAAATTATTGGAAATCACTACAGATTTGTCAAGAGTTAACCATTCCACATTAACAGCGTCTCGTTTTGCAATAGTGGCGAATATTTATAGCTTGGGTGTAGGATGAGAGTGAAGGTTTGTTCTCCGAGCTTGTGGGTTGCTTTCCGAACATTTGTTACCAGGCTAGGTAACATCTTCAGCAGAGTTTAGGGGATGTCAGTGTCAGTGTTCTTCTGTTTATAAAGACTTCATGTGGTCAGTGTGTCTTGTAATGAGTCTTGTGATGGGTCAGAAGTAGGTGTATCAAGAGTTTTATCATGGATCTTGTGATGGGGAGGTTACATCAGGTGAGGATCAAATGAAGTTCTGGTTGGGTGAGGCTTGCGTGGATTGGTTGAGGGTTGGTGCTGTCTCTGGTTGACTGTGGTTGATTTGGATTCTGAGAGGTTCGTAGACTGGTTGTAGGTCAATGTGTCTGTTGATGGAATTGCTTATAGAGTGCCAGGGTTAGTTTTGGCATGGTAGTTGGCTGTGTGATGTGTTGGGGTTTGGGTGCTGTGTTTTTTTTATGGTCTTTCAACATCACCACTCTCTTAACCTCCATTAACGTCTTTCTGTATAACTGCTATCCAAAAAACTTATTCTGACACACAGCACCCAAACCACAACACACAAAAAAGCCAACCCATAAGCTCGGAGAACAAATCTTCAACCTCATCATCTCATTTTCTAATTTAGTAATTTCTTCAGCAGATTACGGAAAAGTTACATGTAAGACGCTAAGAAAAAGACTCAGGCATATCTTGAGCAGAGATTTGAAGCTGCTGCAAAGCTGCTTGTCACAGCTTGAGACAGCTTGAGAGTCTGTGTGTTTATTGGTTTTTATATACTTTTTACATACATAGGCTTTACCATTAAATGCTGACATTTTACATTCACAAGTTTAACCATTAGATGCTGACATCAAGTTTTTTCATTAGACCATTCCTAGTAACACATTACATGATCAAAGCCAGGTAAGAACAAATACAGGTGGATCAAAAAGAGAAAGAGCTAACAAAGACAGGAAGAGATAGGAAGGAACTTAAGCATATTATCTGTTTTGGTAAGTGAGGCATTAAGTCAAAAGGGGATGACCTTCTGGCTGCTTCATTGGGACAAAGGGTATCAAAAGGTTATAGAATTATGAGGTTTGTGGGGGGGAAACCACGGCAGTTTGCTGCACATGCATTTTCCCCCACATCTCACTCTTCTTTATTTTATTAGTGAGGACATTATCCTAAGCTGGAGTAGTTAGTGGGCCTTAGCTTAGTATGGAAAATTGCTTAAACCAGTATAATTTTTTAAAACTGAAGCTGGGACACACACAGGTATAAGACAGGTAGAGAGTAGATTTTCCATGTCATATGATTCAGAAATACAAAAGTCTGTCACTTGTGTGACATTAGCTAATTGCACCCAAATATTATACTTCATCCGTGATTCTAGAGGATGAGGTGGGAGAGCTTGAGCCCCCACACAGCAATTAAGAAGGAAAGAGAGGCAAAGAATGACTAAGGAATTTGCAGTCAAAACCGCAAATATGGCAGTGCATAAATTATCTGGTGTAGGTTCTTTTCCCTGTTGCCGCAGAACCTCCTGTGCTTTGGATGTTAGGTTCTTCACATCGCCCCAGGTTGTTGGCTGACTGCGATGGCGAGAGCAAAAGGGACGTTGTGCTGTCTGAAGAGTCACCTGCTTCATTTCCAGTATTGGGTTCTGGACTTGATGCCACAACATCTTTGGCTGGCCGCACACACTGGGCTGGAATCCAGAGAGGGCCTGTAGGAGCAAGCACAGCCGCATAGCCTCGTCCCCATGTTAGTAAGGGAACTGGACCTAACCAGGTTTTATCAGGCAATTGCTGATAATATACCAATGGATTAGGGAGCACAGTTTTCTGCTGAAAGTGACGCTGGTAGGCAGTAGTGTTTTGAAAAGAAATATTTAGCTGATTTAAAGTTATTAGGACTTTATTGACTTGACGAGTTATCCATGCCAAATTAGGTACCCTTGATCCCTCCTTTTTTAATTGTTTAAGTAAACATTCTTTAATTGAATGATTGGCTCGTTCCACAATAGCTTGGCCAGTATAATTATAGGGAAGGCCATGACAAAGAAGAATATTCCATGTAGTGCAAAACTGTAGGAAGTAGTGGAAATGTAAGCTGGGCCATTATCTGTTTTTATAACAGCCGGTTTTCCCAAAGCCGTAATAGCAGCCATAAGATGGGAAATGACGTGATTAGAGGTTTCTCCCCGTTGGAGGGTTGCCCAAATGGCACCGAAAAAAGTGTCAATTGAAACGTGGAGATATTTCCAAGGTGCTAGAGATGGAACGTGAGTAACATCCATTTGCCATAATTGATTGGCTTCTAAACCACGTGGGTTAACACCTGTGTCTCCTATAGGGGATAGACCTGCACATTGATGACAAGCGGAAATGATTTGTTTCGCTTGGCTTAGAGGAATATGGCAGGATTGTGCTAGGACACTAGCATTTTGATGGAAAAAAGAGTGACTATAAAAGGGATCAGAAAACAACGTGGGTAAGATGTGAACAGCAGCGTCCGCTTGAGCATTACCTTCAGAGAGAGGTCCAGGTAAAGAGGAATGACTTTGAATGTGTGAAACAAAATATGGATGAGTACGATCCTGTAATAAATGCCTCAAAGTTAAAAACAAAGATAATAAATTAGCATCTAGTCTGGGTGTTACATAAGCACCAGGTAAATTAACAATAAGTTGACAGACATAGTGAGAGTCGGAAATGAGATTAAATGGTTTTTGAACAAAAGTGTGAAAAGCAAGAATAGCAGCTGCAAGTTCCGATCGTTGCGGTGTGGGTTACACAGCTGTGTAAAGAGTGTGCCATTTCGCTGTTGATTTATCTCGATATGTGATTGCTCCTCTAGTCTTGCCGCCATCAGAAAATACAGTAATAGCATCAGACAAAGGCTGATTTGAAAGCATAGAGGAAATGCGAAGAGAGGAAGTCATTAAGAATGTAAAGCGAGGGTCTTTAGGTAAATGATAGGAAATCTTCCCTACATAGTCTATCAAAGCAATTTGTAAAGCTTGACATGTCTGAAATGCGAATTCAAAATTAGATTTAGCAAGAGGGATATAAATGTCCACCAAGTCTGTGCCAGTGCGTTGAAGAGCCCGCAAACGGCCTTGTAAGTAGAGCCACTCAATACAATAAACTTGATTGTTCTTTATAGCAGAAAGGACTCAGTAGGGAAGATTAATAAGGTTAGCGGAGAATTAAGAACAGGAATACGGTCAACAAATTTAGTTCTTATAATTGAATTAATTTGTTTAATAACACCTTGCACTGCCGAAGGAATGGAGATTACATCTGCAGGGGATTTGCCCTGGGTGAGTAACTCAAATAAGGGGCTTAACAGACCTGTAGGTAAGCAAAAATAAGGTCTTANGGAGACCGGGCGATAATTGGCCAACTCATCTGGGTCAAGGGAAGGCTTCTTGAGGAGGGGCCTCACAACGGCCTCCTTGAGGGC